TACGCTCATACCAAACATAAAGATTTAAAGACACACACACGCATACCTACGCTCATACCAAACATATAGGTGTACAGACACACACACACACACGCATACCTCGGCTCATACCAAACTTATAGGTGTACAGACACACACACGCATACCTCGGCTCATACCAAACATATAGGTGTACAAACACACACACACACACACACGCATACCTACGCTCATGCCAAACATATAGGTGTACAGACACACACCCATACCTACGCTCATGCCAAACATATAGGTGTAAAGACACACACGCATACCTACGTTCATACCAAACATATAGGTGTACAGACACACACGCATACCTACGCTCATGCCAAACATATAGGTGTACAGACACACACGCATACCTACGCTCATACCAAACATATAGGTGTACAGAGACACACGCATACCTACGCTCATGCCAAAAATATAGGTGTACAGACACACATATATACACATATCTACGCTTCTATCTACACATATAGGTGTACACACATATACACACATAGCTACGCTCATATCTACACATACAGGTGTAAACACACTTGTACACATATCTACGTGCCTATCTACACATATAGGTGTACCTACGTACATACACACATATCTCCGCTCGTATCTACACATATAGGTGTAAACACACATATCTCCGCTTGTATCTACACATATGGGTGTACACACGCACAAACACACATATCTACGCTTATATCTACACATATAGGTGTACCCACGTACATACACACATATCTACGCTCATATCTACACATATAGGTGTAAACACACACATACACACACATACGCACATTCACATCATGACACATAGGTGTTAACAAATACCTATCGATTGAGACAGACACATACAATAAAACCTCAGCAAATACATATAACGGGATATGTCCATGTATATAATACATATTCATGGCAGCATCCTCGTCCCGATGTCGTGGTGCCAAGACAATGTGTCCACGCTCAGGATGTCACCACGAAACAGCATAGCTTTATACAGGTATAGTATGCACCAACCGTCAACATCCACATGATACTCCAATGTCATGTACTGGGGATACTGTCAACAAGCAGTATGTATATGTATTTGTATATAATAATAAGGTCTATTTAGCTAACCACACTTTGTATAACGGTCACTATCGCATTCTATACTTCCTGTCATACTTAATACAATGATAACTATCGTATTCTATAATACCTCTCATCCTTTGTATAACGATAAGTATCGTATTCTATAGGACCTGCCACACTTTGTACAATGATAACTATCGTATTCTCTACTACCTGTCATACTTTGTACAATGATAACTATCGTATTCTATAATACCTGCCACACTTTGTATAACGATAAGTATCGTATTCTATAGGACCTGCCACTCTTTCTACAATGAAATCTATCCTATTCTATACTACCTGTCATACTTTGTACAATGATAACTATCGTATTCTATAATACCTCTCACCCTTTGTATAACGATAAGTATCTTATTCCATGAGACCTGTCATGCTTTGTACAATGATAACCATCGTATTCTATAGGACCTGCCACACTTTGTACAATGATAACTACTGTATTCTATATGACATGTCACACTCAACATAACGATAACTACCGTATCACCGTGCATACGTGTGTTAGCTAGGATGGCAACCATATGACGATGAAGCTCAAACCTAGTCACGTTGAGCATCAGTACTGATGTCACGTAGACTGTAGACAACGTGTGACTATCACTAGTCCCAGCCACAGTTATATAGAACCTGTATATATAACCAGCAAACATAATACCAAAGGTATCATCTAGCATCCATTACCATCAACACGTATATCATTCTATATCACTGGCACAATCACTGTACAATGTCTACCATCGTCACTCCATCGACAAAATACTCCGTGTATATACAACCGAACACCGTATATTATTGTCATGCAGTTGATAACAGGATATACCTTGTACCATTGTCAGAACCTAGACAGACATATATACCACGTACCAGTGTACACCAGATACATTATGCATCCTTCTCATAGCCTACACAACCATATACAGCATGTACCATTGTGATACCCCACACAACCATATACAGCATGTACCGTTGTCATACCCTACACAACCATATACAACATGTATCGTTGTCATACCCCACACAACCATATACAGCATATGCCATTGTCATACCCCACACGCCCATATACACCATGTGCCGTTGTCATACCCTACACAACCATATACAGCATATGCCATTACCATACCCCACACAACCACATACAGCATGTACCGTTGTCATACCCCACACAACCATATACAGCATGTACCGTTGTCATACCCTACACAACCATATACAACATGTATCGTTGTCATACCCCACACAACCATATACAGCATAAGCCATTGTCATACCCCACACACCCATATACACCATGTGCCGTTGTCATACCCTACACAACCATATACAGCATATGCCATTGTCATACCCCACACAACCATATACAGCATGTACCGTTGTCATACCCCCACAACAATATACAGCATGTACCGTTGTCATACCCTACACAACCATATACAGCATGTGTCATTGTCATACCCTACACAACCATATACAGCATATGCCATTGTCATACCCCACACAACCATATACAGCATGTACCATTGTCATACCCTACACAACCATATACAGCATATGCCGTTGTCATACCCAACACAACCACATACAGCATGTACCGTTGTCATACCCCACACAACCATATACAGCATGTACCATTGTCATACCCTACACAACCATATACAGGATATGCCATTGTCATACCCCACACAACCATATACAGCATGTACCATTGTCATACCCTACACAACCATATACAGCATATGCCATTGTCATACCCCACACAACCACATACAGCATGTACCATTGTCATACCCCACACAACCACATACAGCATGTACCATTGTCATACCCCACACAACCATATACAGCATGTACCGTTGTCATACCCCCACAACAATATACAGCATGTACCATTGTCATACCAACACAACCAGATACAGCATATACCATTGTCATACCCTACACAACCATATACAGCATGTACCGTTGTCATACCCCCACAACAATATACAGCATGTACCATTGTCATACCCAACACAACCAGATAAAGCATGTACCATTGTCATACCCCACACAACCATATACAACATGTACCATTGTAATACCCCACACAACCATATTAAACATGTACCATTGTCATACCCCACACAACCAGATACAGCATGTACCACTATCATACCAACACAACCAGATACACCATGTATCTCTATCATACCTACACAACCAGATACACCATGTACCACTATCAAACCAACACAACCAGATGCACCATGTATCTCTATCATACCAACACAAACAGATACAGCATGTACCACTATCATACCTACACAACCAGATACACCATGTACCTCTATCAAACCAACACAACCAGATACACCATGTATCTCTATCATACCTACACAACCAGATACACCATGTACCACTATCAAACCAACACAACCAGATGCACCATGTACCACTATCATATCTATACAACAAGATACATAATGTACCATTATCATACCAACACAACCAGATACACTATGTACCACTGCCATACCAACACAACCAGATACACCATGTACCACTATCATATCTATACAACAAGATACATAATGTACCATTATCATACCAACACAACCAGATACACTATGTACCACTGCCATACCAACACAACCAGATACACCATGTACCACTATCATATCTATACAACAAGATACATAATGTACCATTATCATACCAACACAACCAGATACACTATGTACCACTGCCATACCAACACAACCAGATACACCATGTACCACTATCAAATTAACACAACCAGATACACCATGTACCACTATCAAACCAACCAACCAGATACACCATGTACCACTATCAAACCAACACAACCAGATACACCATGTACCACTATCAAACCAACACAACCAGAAACACAATGTACCACTATCAAGCCAACACAACCAGATACAGCATGTACCACTATCAAACCAACACAACCACTGTCGTCCACTGCACCATCACGGCACAGCGGGTGCAACAACCCCTACACTACGAGGAACACTGTGTATCTTCTAACAGTGTACCCAGCCGTACTGTGTCACAAACGTCGCATCTCTATAATTAGCTGTGTGTAAAGATGCTTATACACTACACAGCGTTGTGAATAATTGTATCATTAATTGATCTCATGATATTGGAATGTTAATTAATCGCATGACCTGAATATGACTGGAGGACTATTTATCGCTCACGGGTCGACTGTGTCTGATTTGATATTGCTGAAAGCATATATGCACGGCACATAACGTGATGTTTCTACTGTTCCTGATAGGAAAACCTACGGAAACAAATATATCAATGTTTGAATAAGCTATTGTTAACTTATTGTATTGAGCCATGCGGTAGAAATTAAGTGTACGATAAGCACTACCAGATGTCCTCTGTATAAAGTTGCAAATGTCGGCTGGTGTAACCTACTCACTTTTGAGAGTGTTTTAAGTACTTGTGATAAATACGTTCACATCAGTTGCAATATTTAATTTGTATAAGTGCTGGATCATGCACATACGCTGGAACATTGTACATATGTATTGTAAAGTATTGATCAGTACCAGCTGTGACATACATTATAATACGCTGCACTGACAGGTGCCATCGGGAATTGTACATTATGCAAGTGCAGCTGACCTCACCTATCTCGATTTACAATGTTCATTGACTCCGCAAAAAATGTTTTTCCTAAACATTTTATTAGCTGTCAATGTCCGTGACATTATCATCATACTCGCACTAAATAGGATCATATAACGGTTGTTGTAGTTTCTTGATTTCACTGTTAATGTTTGCAAATAAAAACACAATTTAGACGTAAAGACACTCACTGATGATCACGGTAACAATTCTCAAAGCGCTGTCGTCTGCTTTCTGTCGTCTGCTTTCTGTATCGTCTGCTTTCTGTGTCGTCTGCTACTGGGCTGCCCTATAAACTCCGCCTCTCCTCTGTGAAGTATGGACAGCACGCGATATGATCCTATTATACCACTCTTGGCTGATCATACGATCTCACCTCAGCGAAGGTCAGCGCGCATGCTCAGTAATAGTTCAAGCAGACGAATCCCATCAGTTGTAGATTACACTTCTGAATTATTGTTGTTGGATCTGTTCCTAGACATTTCTTATTCAAATTTAGAAATTGCTCGTGGAATGTGGGCTTGTCTTTGCAGACGTAGGAACATCGATTTCGTGTGAAGCCGTTGCGCTAGGAGTTGACTGGCATCCGCGATGGGTTATTTACCGAGACGGGGATTCCCAGGCTAAAGATTGACCTCTGGGAATGCTGCGCGTGCCCAGGTCAAGATGGCGAACGTTGAATGGATGAGCCCGAGGATATGCCTGTCAATTGAGGTCCAATGTTACCTCACACCACTACACCTTCCAATCAGGGCAAGTCAACAAGTACATAGGTACTGAAGGTTACGTAGATCTGTGTGAGTGAACGCGCCCCTACACAATCACCCTCTACCGATGTATCCACCGTCTTCATATGCCAAGATGTTGCCCAGATGCCACAGTAACCAGTAACAGAGTGAGAGTATTATGAGTAACAATGTACACCTGCTATGTACTTAAACCCAACTTTCCACTCCACATGCACACGATGCATTACTATGAACAATGTAGGAAAAATTACCACGCCAGCTCGGAGCTATTATGAACAGATAACGTTCGGTTTAGACTTTCGCACCAAAACGAATCAGGCGATCTGTCGGACCACTGTTTACTTAACGCAAAAATAAATTTTCTCTTAAAACCAGGTTAAAACCAAAATTCAATTTTGCTTCGTTGAGTCATTGTTTAATTGTGGAATGTTATTGTTACTGCTGAAAGGATGCAGAGCAGGATTAGCATGGATGCATTAGCTCATTAGTGGAACTGAACACTTAAATTTCAGCAAAGAGTATCTGCATTTTCTGAACCATCTCCGCTCTTGCGAATTATCGATTAATGAAAACAGTGCACGTCACAGATGTCGGATGCGGCAGTACTTAAGTGAAATTCAATATGTGTTTTAAATTAAATATTTAAATCAATTAAAGAAAAGTGCCCCCAAACTCGATTTCAGTGACAACGTTTGACTTTGTCACCCCGTAAAGAATAAGATACTGTTGTGGACTTGATATGTCGGCGAATATGCATGGTTATGTGTCTCGTTGTTAGACTGTGGTAACCGAACAATACAAACACTATGACTGGGTTTCGCTGATAGTTCACTTTGCCTCGAATGTACATAAATCACATGGTCACGGATAAAAATGTCAATGGATATGTGGTTTGTGTTGATCGGTAGTGCAAATACCATAGCAACCGATGTTGGGCGCGGTTGTGCACACTTATTATTGACAAATCCATTATAGTTGAACTGATATCTGTACAGGGAATTAGGGGCATGTGACTAGCTTATCTACACACGTCAATATCAGATGATATAACTTTGGATAGTTCCATGAATTTATTTACATTTGTTCATTATGCGAAATTATGCGACAAGTCCTAGAAAGAGTTGTTCCAATAGTGATCACAGTCATTGCTATAAATGTATTGTATTGCTATTTGTGTATAAACATGGCTGCCGCGTCAGCCATATTGAAAATGCCATTCAGTTTCTTTAATGACAGACACATTATAGATATATTTTGTGTTGAAAGCCTGTCGTGTGTATTTTGCATCCCATGGTTATGATATAATATCCTGTTATTATCTTTGACCTCAAAGTGATCCTGGATTTATAATTGTACTAAACATACAATATGTATGTCTATTTTTATATAAAAAAACACACCTTTTGTTAAATTTGATTTGCATGTGACATACAGGCGGAAGGGTACTGAATTTACATGTCTGTGCAGTAAACTACGGTTATAACGAACTCAAAGGGATCCCTTATTCTAGTTCGTTATAACCGTTGTCCGTTGTGAGTGAGTTGGATTAAACGCCGCTTTTAACAATATTCCAGTTATATCGCGGCGTGTCTGCTTAATGTGGAGCAAAGCCCCAAGTGATGCAGGTCTCTGACGTTTACCACTACGGTGAAACCATCGAGCACGCCTATGGTGCTGACAAACCTAAATTATAATCGGGGCGAATCGGGATTCGAACCCACAATCATGGGTTTCTGGCTTGCCCAAGGGACGCAACTCTGCACAACGAAGCGCGGCGCCTTAGACGACTGGGCCACCCGTGCTCCCTGTCCGTTATGAGCATGTATACAGCATAAATACAGCAAATGGTTCGTATAAGCGCGTTCGTTATAAAGGCAGTTTATTGTATAACAAAGTGTCTGTGAGTGATGGGTAATATACATAAGTGTATGGCAGATACGACGTCAATTGATAGTGTATTTTAAAGGCCGACTACGAGGCGTCATGGAAAAAACGTCTCAGGTTACCCTACTCTATATATAGTAGTATCTACTGACAGTTTATCAGTCATGATTTCTCCTTGCTTGTCCCACACCCTGTCTCTTGGGATGCTGGGTTCATCTGGCGCTGAGGGGTGAGGGGTGAGGGGTGAAGTCGAATGGGGGGTTGGATGGCGGTTAATAACAGCGACCACTAAACACAATCTTGCATCTTTTTTGTTCCTAAAGAGTCATAATAGAACATACAGTTATATCAATATGTATGAGAGAAACGTATGTACTTCATAAGTGACAATGTTTATTTTATATTATCTATTTAAGATATGCTTTTAAGAATGCCGTATTTCATGTTTTGATTTGTTTGTTGTTTTACGCCGGACTCAACAACATTCCAGCTATATGACGGCGGTCTGTAAATAATCGAGTCTGGGCCAGACAGTCTAGTGATTGAGATCATGAGCATCGATCCACGCAATTGGGATACGCTGACATTCATCAACCACTCAGCGAGCCTGACCACCGGATCCCTTAAGTCGTCTCTTACGACAAGCATAGTCACCTTTTAGGGCAAGCATTGGTTGCTGAAGACCTATTCTGACCCGGGTCTTCACGGGTCTCATGTTTGGAAGTTGTAATTCACTCATAAACATTTGTTCAAGGCAACGTAATGAGATGAGGAGTTGACGCTATTAAGGGATTGACGTCCCTTGAGGGGACCGGGGTAATTGATAAGTATTAACAAAAGGCATCCTCTTGTTAAAACTGATAACATCAGCTAGCTACAGATGTTCGGAAGTTAGACCGAGATCGTCCTTTAAGGATAGAAAATATATGGTTGGGATGTCAAGTGCAAATAGCATTGTCTGCAATGTTGCACATACAAGACGTTCAGGTGAGCTACAAAACCTCGTGGCTTTTTGTAACATTAAAGAACTCACTGAACCTGTGGTTGTTGCATAAGTAACATTCATGCATTACTAGATTACGTTGATGTAGCATGCACTGCATTCAAACATTGCATTTGCAGTGATCTGTATGCACTGAAGGAACCCTGTTTGATAGACACAGAACAAGGAGGCATGATGTTTATCATTTGAACGCAAACCAATGACTAGTACATACACATTGGCCGCGACAGCTCTCGTACATCTCCAGGTACAGTGGTAATGTACTTGGCACACTGTACAGGTTCTAGATGTGGCTGTTCTGGGAAAGTTGAATAAAGTGCAGTGTACAAGGTATATGTATGGTTGTTGCGTGTAATCGAGCGCTTGTCGAGTTGTGTGGCACGGAATGACCTTTCCTACAAGGCTGTGGTATTCGATGCCACATCCAGGGGATTATGCGAAGTGGCACTGATATGTATTGACCTTCAACCTAACGTTTAAGACATGTTTCTCGTGATCTTTCAATCGCAACAGCCCACTCCTCACATACACGGGTGTTGAATATATATCCCTGGACAAATTAATGCGTCGCTGACCACTTTGGCGTTATCCTATTACTGTAGTGAGGATTGTTCGAACAACGACCGGCCCCACGTCACTGTTATGAGTAGTTTTGTTTGTGCGTAAGTCTCTTGTTTAACCTCGCACTCAACAATATTCCAGATATATGAAGAATATCTGTAAAACATCGACCAGGCAATCCAGTGATTGACATCATGGGCATCGATGTACACGATACGATGACATGCATGAACCAAGTCAGCGAGCCTGACCACGCGATCCCGTAAGTCAAGCATGGGCTGCTGAAGATAAATTTTAACCCAAATTTCCACGTGCCGTTTTGAATAGACCCCCTCACCCCCGTTGAGACCGTTGACACAATGAAACACTTCCCTCAAGATGACGGCTGCAGAACGGTGCATCCTCCCAGGTACCGACAGAGGATTACTCGAGGACAAGCGCTAGTTATATTGTCATCAGCACCGAAATCCTGGCAAATTATTCCCGAAAATCTGTCAGCCGAGTTCTGCCTTCGCTAACGAGTGAGTGAGTGAGTATGGTTTTACGCCGCTTTTAGCAATATTCCAGCAATATCACGGCGGGGGACACGAGAAATGGGCTTCACACATTGTACCCATGTCGGGAATCGAACCCGGGTCTTCGGCGTGACGATCGAACGCTCTAACCACTAGGCTACCCGACCGCCCCCTTTGCTGACGAGATCTGCTGAATGCTTGTCGCTATCGACCTGCATATAATTTGTGGCAAACATGCGAACGAATAACATCTCTTTATGTACGCTTGACCACGACGTCGTAGCTCTGAATAAACTTGTCTCTATGTGTGTATAGGGGCGGTCGGGTAGCCTAGTGGTTAAAGCGTTTGCTCGTCACGCCGAAGTCCCGGGTTCGAATCCCGACATGGATACAATGTGTGAAGCCCATTTCTGGTGTCCCCCGCCGTGAAATCGCTGGAATATTGCTAAAAGCGGCATAAAGTCAAACTCACTCACTCACTCTCTCTGTGTATAAACTGTTGGCTAAAGAAAAAGTATACCGAGTTTGTTATTTTATGTTATTTTAAATTGAAAGAACTGTTGTTGAATTTGATTATGTCTATTCAACCATCACTCATTCATGCAACAGCTCGTAAAAAGTTATCTGTGGCTGGGTAATTATGTTAAAAATTAAATTGGTTCAATGAAGACTTGGGTCAGAAATGAATTTGCAACCACTTGATCCCTACCATGTTGGAAATGTTGGAAATTTGTGCCGATACATAGAGCAAATTTATTTATACTCATAGATCAGTTGTGCATTATGCGAACATAATGTTTCATATTTGTAAAGGGGGCGCGGGTGGCCCAGTCGTCTGAGGCGCCGCGATTCGCTGTGCAGAGTTGCGTCCCTTGGGCACGCCAGAAACCTATGATTGTGGGTTCGAATCCCGGTTCGCCCCGATTATGTTTCTAGGTTTGTCAGTACCATACCCGTGCTCGTGGGTTTCACCGAAGTGGTAAACGTCAGAGACCTGCATCACTTCGGGCTTTCCTCTAACATTTAGCTGACACGCCGCGATATAACTGGAAAAATGTTAAAAGCGGCGTTAAACCCAACTCACTCACTCACTCTACATATTTGTAAAAGTTAAAATCGAATTTAATTTTTTTTTATTAAACTACGTAGAGGCATTATTTGAGTGCTGAGTAACACCAATACAGTTATTTTTTTATATATTTTTTTGTTATAGCTAACGTAAGATATTTTCAATTGAAAATGAAACTCCTCAGTATATATTCAATCAATTT